GCCCCCAGCGAGCTGGGTACTCATTTTACTGACCTCGGAAGGATAGAAGGCAAAGCAGCTCACAGCATTAAAATTCACACAATTAAAAGCACAGTAAGTTAAATATTGAAAGACAAATTAAACAATATATGATTTAAAATAAAATTAAAAGATTAAAACATGAAAACATAAAAAGATTAAAATTATCTGCTAAAATGGGGATTCAGTTGTACTTGTTAAAAGCCTGCCTGAGGAGATGGGTCTTTAGCTTTTTTTGGAAGGATAACAGGGAAGGGAAGGATAACAGAGAAGGGAGAGAGTTCCATAGCCTGGGAACTACCACAGAGAAGGCCCTCTCCTGTGTCCCCATCAGCTTGCTTGTGCTGGCAATGGGACCGAGAGGAGGGCCACTGCTGATCTTCATCACCGAGAAGGCGCATGTAGGGAGATACAGTCCTTCAGGTAGCCTGGACCCAAGCTGTATAGGGTTTAATAAGTAATGAGCAGCACTTTGAATTGGGCCCAGGAACAGACTGGTAGCCAGTGCAGTTCTTGTAACAGGTGTGTTATATGTTCCCTGTAGCTGGCCCCAGTCAGTAGTCTGGCTGCAGAGTTTTCCACCAGCTGAAGTTTCGGAACTGTCTTCAAAGGCAGCCCCACACAGAACATGTTACAGTAATTCAAATGGGATGTAACTAAGGCATGTGTCACTGTGGCCAAATTCAACATCTCAAGGAACAGGCACCCCTGGCGTACTAGCTTTAGCTGTGCAAATGCACTCCTGGCCACTGCCAAGACCTGGGCATCGAAGTTTAGAGATAAAGCCAGAAGTACAGCCAAGCTGCGGACTTGCATTCTCAGGGGGAATGTAACTCCATCCAGCACAGGCAGTATCCCTGTTCCCTCATCTGCCTTCTGACTAACCAGGGGCACCTCTGTCTTATCTGGATTAAGTTTCAATTTCTTTGCCCTCATCCAGCTCATTACTGATGCCAAGCACTGGTTTAGAGTCAAGACAGCTTCCCTGGAATTAGGTGGAAAGGAGAGATTGAGTTGGGTATCATCTGCCTACTGGTGACACCAAACCCCAAAACTCCAGACAACCTCTCCCAGTGGTTTCATGTAGATGTCAAAAAGCATGGGTGACAAAGCAGAACCCTGAGGAATGCCACAGGCCAATGGCCAGGGTGTTGAGCAGGCATCACCCAGCACCACCTTCTCAGTTCTCCCCTCCAGGAAGGACTGGGGCCACTGTAATCCAGTGTCCCATCCAAGTCCCATTCCAGAGAGATGGCCCAGAAAGATACCATGGTCAATGGTATCGAAAGGCACTGAGAAGTCCAGCAGAACCAACTGGGACACACTCCCCCTGTCTAGTTCCCAGTGTAGGTCATCCACCAAGGCGACCAAAGCTGTCTCTGTCCCATAGCCAGGCCTGAAACCAGACTGAAGATGGGTCTGGATAATCCACTTCCTCCAAGAATCCCTGGAGCTGAGAAACCACCACATGTTTCAGTATCTTGCCCAGGGATGGGATGTTTGAGACTGGCCGGTAGTTATCCAATACACTGGGATCCAGGGAGGCCTTCTTCAGTAGCAGTCTTATTACTTATTACTGCCTCCTTTAAGCAAGCAGAGGTCCTACCCTGCTGCAAGGAGGCATTTACCACTCCTCGTACCCAATTGGCCATTTCTCCTCTGGCTGCTTTTATGAGCCAGGAAGGGCAAGGGTCGAGCACACATGTGGTGCCATTCACCTCTCCAAGAATCCTGTCCACATCATCAGGCTGCACCAACTGAAAAGTATCCATTAAAACAGGACAGGACAGGGCCAAAGTTACATCCACTGGGTCTGTATTGATTACAGCATCCAGGTCAGAGTGGATCCGAGCAACTTTATCTGCAAAATGTCATGTAAATTCCTCACAGTGGGTTGTGGAGTGGTCAGTATTTTGTTCTTTTGGTGGGGCATGTACGAAGCCTTGAAACAACTATGCTGGACAACTTTGTGCAGATGCAATGGCAGCAGCAAAGAACCTTTTCTTTGCTGCAGCCACTGCCACAGAATAGGCCTCCAGATGGGCTCTAGCCCGTGTTCGGTCAGATTCACTCTGAGTTTTCCACCATTGTTGCTCTAGCGTCCGGACTTGCCTGGTTCTACTTCATGGGAGGCAACGCTTAGGGGTAATCGTATCCACCGCCCTGGCCATTTCCCCATTCCAGAGATCAGCCAGAGCTTCAACAGGATCGCCTGCCAAGGCAACAGGAAACTCCCCAAGAGCCATCAGAAAACCACTTGGATCCGTCAGTCTCCTGGGGCAGACCATCCTAATAGGTCCTCCACCCCTGCAGAGATTAAGAGTTCCAGTAAGTCTAAACCTCACCAAGTAGTGATCTGTCGATGAGAACGGAACTACAAAGAGCTCCTCCACACTCAGATCACCATCATCCTGCCCAGCAGGTCCAGAGTGTGCCCTGCTATATGTGTGGGGCCAGAAACCACTTGAGACAGATCGATGGTTGTCATGGAGGACATGAAGTCCTGAACCAATCCTAATAAGTTGGTCTCAGCGTGGACACGGAAGTTCCCCAGTGTAGTGCCCAAGCCTCCCTTAGGAGCGCTTAGCAATCAGTCAGAAAGTTCGAGAGGCCACTTACCTACCACCTTTGCGCTGAGGCAAGTCCTAAGACCTCAGCAGTACATAGCATAAGCTGAACAAGTCTGACCTTAAAAGAACACTTGACTTTTACCCAGTGCTTTACAAGTACAGACACATAGATTTTGTGATTCCTTATAATTCACAATAGCTCAGTTAGGTAGGACTCTTAAAGACAGCTAGTTTGTGGCCCTCTCCACCTCCTGGATTTAGCGAACCCCTGCTGTTCAAATGACCAGTCCTTTGTAAGGATTTTTATAATTAATTTTTATTAGAAAAATAGAGTTTCATAGAATTTATTTATTTATTTGATTTATACCCCGCCTATCTGGCCTAAAAGACCACTCTAGAATCAGCTTATATTGCTCAAGCTTTAGCATAAAGAACATATTCAAAGATCATTACAGTTAAATAATATAACTAAACCCATTAAAATAATAAACTCTATTATGCTGAACTAAGGTGGGCTAGTCCCACCTTCTTTCTCTGCACTTACATTTTTTCTCCTTCAAGCCACATCCTCAAACCATCAAGTTCTTTTTCTCTTCCATCATCATGGAATAGAACTTCCGAACTTCTTCCACATAACCCATCGGGTATTTTCTACATTCTCTAACTCCTCCCTTCTTCTTGACACTGCATGGCTGTTAACCAATATAACATCCTCCTCCTCCCTCAATTCCTATGAAAATCCAGGTGTTTTATCTCTTCTCCAATTAGCTCGGCATGTTGAGTCTTTCACGAGCTCCTTGTCCGACCTTCAGCTTAATCTCGAACCACGCTGTATCGGTCTTCAAAAAAACACTCTCATAGCACTTAGAAAAACACACCCCAATATCTCTCAAATCATCTTCACACAGCACCTGTCTGACCCCATCTTACATTTCTCTGACTACATATCCCATACTGCTTCAACTCCATCACACCCAGTACTATCAGCCTAGAGGACTCCAACATCACCTCCGACACCAACTCAGTCAGCTCAGGAAAGGGAGGCTGATGAGCAGCACGGTGGATGGTACACCAACGGAATCCCTATTCTGTCCCAGGCACCCACCTTTAAGTATACACACTTGAACTGAGAAAACTGTGTGACAAGGCACCTGGTGAGCGGGGGAGGGATGGAATCATGATAGATGACTGCAACTCCACCTCCCCACCCCACCCCCCAGGTCTGGCCTGTTGCTGCTGCTGCACAGAGAAACCAGGTAGGCAAAGCTGGGAGAGACTAACTCCCCCACAGCTCCATCCAGCCAGGTCTCTCCAGTACAGGCCAGGTCAGCACGCTCATCCAAGATCCGGAAACGGCCTGCTATTGCTGCACAATATTGTACCCAATTTGCTGGGAGGAAAAAGGATGCCAAGCGTTACAGCCTGGGTTGACAACACCAATGGCAGCAGTCAATGGTCTATATGACAGGATACCTTTTTGTGCCTACTACTAGAAATGGACACAAATTTGGCAGTTTGAGCCAGTTTGTTTTTCCGCCAAACAGGTGTTCAGCTCTTCTCAGCCCTGCCTCCTCTGGCAGGTGCACACTCAGAGGCATCACCCAAAGGAGGCAGGGCAATGACGCCCTGCTTCTGAGTGGGCACCCACTGGAGGAGGTGGGGCTGGGAAGCACTGAACATCTGTTTGGCAGAAAAACAAAAGGGCACAAACCATCAAACAAGGGATTTATGCCCATCTCTACGAACTACCATTCACAAAGTGGCACCAAGCAAGGGAAAATTCCTGAGGCAGACTCGTTTTTTTCATCAGTTAACCACTTTTCACCCAAACACAAAGCAATTGACAGGGCTGCCTTTCCACAAGTGTGGATGGTATTGAGCACTAGAGGATATCCTGTAGACTGCTGTTGGCAGTCCTAAAAATTCTGTTCTGTTGTCCAAGCATATGGTACGATAAGATTTATTGAGCACCCCAAACGTGCAAGCCCAAGTCATTTGGTAACCTGTTCTGGACCCAGGCCAAATCTCCTGCCAATTCCAGTTCATCTCTTGATAGATTATATCCCCACGGTCATATTTTTGGACTTGATTGAATGAAACGCTAGCTCAGTAAATAATTAATTGCTCTATAGCTTTTTAAGAAATCTATTTTCCAAATGGTTTGGAGGACTTCAGGGTGATGATGGCAAGATTCATGGCAGTCTTTTACCTAAACCACTGAGCTATCCAGCAGGTGATGGAGACATTTCTGCTCAAGTACATTGCTGATATCCTCAGAACTAAAAGACAGAACTTCATCCAGCAGTACTGGACTGATGGGTTCTGAACACAAATGTGTTCTTGAATTGTCAAACCTAAGTCATGGTTTGTGTGAGCAATTTTCTCCACAAAGCAAACTTGTCACACAGCAACCTCTGCAGGTCCCTGAAATAAACAAAATGGTGTTACACATTTTAATGTACAATAAAATCAAGTTTGAGCGTCAAAAAAGAAATCATTTTATCTGTTCTAAAACGTGCTCTATAAATACAGGAGAGATTATTCATGATGCCTATAATGGAATCTGTGTTTCAACTTGACTACTTGATTATTGTGATATATGTATATTATAACTCACATAATCTTAGGTATTTTAATTTTCTTGACTTTCTGGGCATTCTTCAGCAATGGACTTCTCCAGCCCATCCCAGTACAACATAATATGACTGGGAGCTGTATAATGACTTGTGATGATCTTCTTGTAACGGCAAGGAGAATATGGAATGTGGCCTGAAAAAAAGGTTGGCTTTGAATGAAGTTTGCCTGGTTGAATTTTCAGTTCAGAAAGGCAGAGACCTATGAAAACATCCTCCAGCTTAAAGAAGGGGACCTTTTTTGAAATTACATATATTTGACTTGCAACATCGGTGGAGAGAACATAACCAGTCCCTGAAGCAAATGGAGGGTAATAGTTTCCTGGATATTCCTCTTCATTCACATACCACTTACTGCTTGGATCCCTTACTGGATGGTCATGCATTCTTAATAAACCTGTAAAGAATCTAGAGGTCCTGTTTCTTTTCAGAAGAAGTTCAGTCAGGTAATACGTATTCACAAACATATCAGAATCAGTTTTCATCACAAACGTAGACTGCGGACAGAATTTATGAATCCACTCAAGGCCCATCAAAGTCTTCAAAGTTAAATTATAATATGTATCTAGGAAATCCTTCTGAATGATATCCTTGTAAAGTGTGTTTTCTGTAGCAACAGCAATCTGTTCGTAGGATCGGAAATTGTTTCCTAAGAGAAAATATGTCACAATTCGTTTCTCAGCAATTACTCTTTCTTTGCCCCATGACTGGCGGATAGCCATCCGGGCTTCAGTTTCGCCAAGTCGAGATGTTACAAGTATTACTAGGAATGGTGTGTTCATACTGCAATCTGCCTCTGGCAGTTTCAAAAAGTCCCCACTGTTTCTCTTTAAAATGAAGAGGTCTTTTTGGCAAAATGGGTAGACATCACTAGAAATCAACAGGATTGTTAATGCGGAACCACCAAAGACCAACACAACAATACAAAAAAAGATCTTTTTTGGGGGTCTCATCTGAAAAAGAAAAAAAAAGCCTATATTATTTGAAAAATCTAGCCTATTTCAATATCAGATTTATTTCAACATTAACAAATAAATTTAACAAGCTATAAACCATATTCAACACTTTTGTGTTCCTCTCTCAAGTCTAAGATGAAAAAGCAGTGAAAATTGGCTCAATAAAAATCAATAACAAAGGCAGGACTGCTGTTGAACACTGAGAACACAAAAATAATGACTACAGAAGTTGTATAGAGTTATACAGTTTTAATGTTGGAAGTGAAGAAATCAACATTGTTAAAGATTTTGTATACCTCAGTCCAATGATTAATCTTAATGGAGGCTGCATCTACGAAATCAGAAGAAGAATGAGATTTGGAGAGTCAGAAATGAATGAATTAGAAAAGACAAAGAGCTTTGTGAATGCCTTGGCCTGCCAGAAACACAAACAAGTAGGTCCTAGATCAAACCAAGACTGAACTCTCTCAAAAGCAAAAATGATAAAACTGAGGTTGTTCTACTTTGGACACATTGTGAGAGGACCTACTGGAAAAGACAGTAATGCTGGGAAAAACTGAAGGTAGCAGCAAAAGAAAAAGACTAAGTATGAGAAGGATTAATTCCATCATCATCATCATCATCATCATCATCATCATCAAATCATCATCATCATCATCAAATCATCATCATCATCATCATCATCATCATCATCATCATCATCATCATAATTGAATTTGAATTTGAATTTGTATCCCACATCATCTGGTAACCAGGCCACTCTGGACGGCTAACAACAATGTACGGAGAAAAAAAACTTTAAAACACTATAAGTTAATACATAGCAAATCAGAAATTAAAACAGATGGCAGTGAGGTGGTGTAAAGGGTGATGGAGAGGATAGCAAAAAGAATGGTGAAAAGGGAGCACAAGGTCCTGGTGCTCCAGGAAAGCCAGGCAGAAGAGCCAGGTCTCCAATGCTCTTTTGAATCCATCCAGCAAGGGTGCCAGGCAGATCTCAGTCAGCAGGTTGTTCCATAGCTGGGGGGCAACCACCAAGAAGGCCCAGTTTTAGTTCTTCCTCTCCGGGCCTCCTTCAAGGTCAAGGCCCTCAATCACCCTGCCTGTGAGGAACAGGTATTATGGACAGATCTGGCTGGGAGCACACATTCCGATAGGTACCTAGGTCTTAAATTGTTTAGGGCTTTGAATGTTATCATCATAATCTTGACACTGATGCGGAAACGAACCGGTAGCCAATGAAGGGCGACCAGAGTGGGGGAGATGTGCTGAAATTTCTTCACCCCATTTATTTATCTGGCTGCTGAATTCTGGACCAGTTGAAGTTTCCACATCAGCCTCAAAGGTAGCCCCATGTAGTGAGCACTGCAGTAGTCTATATTTGAGATTACAAGGGCATGATTCAGTCTTGTGAATGCTCCCCAGGTCTAGATAGGAACGCAGCTGGGCAATTTCCAGAGATGGAAATGGGCTGCCTGGACCACAGATGCCACCTGGGTTTCCATGGTGAGATCTGGGTCCAGGCAGATGCCCAAGCTGTGAACCTCACTCTTCACAGGGAGAGTCACTCCCCCAAAGGAGACGAAGTTTTCCAACCCACTGACGCCAGGGCCACCCATGCACAAGATTTCCATCTTGTCCGGATTCAACCTCAGTCCATTTGCCCTCATCCATTCCAGAACGGTCCCCAAGCAGCGTTCAAGGGTCAGAACAGCATCCACTGGAGTAGGAAAGAAAAGGAGAGGTAGAGCTGGGTGTCATCATCGTACTGATGACACTGGGCCCCACAACTCCGGACAACCTCACCCAGCGGCCTCATATAGATATTAAATAGCATTGGCAAGATGATTGGCCCCTGCAGAACCCCACAATTGAAGATCCATGGGGTGGAAGTCATCTTGCCAAGCTGAACTCTCTGGGCACAGTCCTCCAAGAAGGAATGGAGCCACGCCAAAGCGAGGCCACCAATTCCCAACTCTGAGAGCTGCCTCAGGAGGCTACTGTGATCAATGGTATCAAAGGCTGCTGAGATATCGAGGAGGACCAACAAGGACATATTGCCCCTGTCGGCCTCCCTCAGAAGGTCATCCTGCAGGGCGACCAATGCTGTTTCCGTACCATGCTGCGACCTGAAGCCTGACTCGAATGGATCAAGGGCATCAGTTTCCTCCAGGAGGGCCTGGAGCTGATTGGCCACCACCCTCTCAACCACCTTACTCATGAAAGAAACATTGGCGATGGGCCTATAATTCCCAATTTCGTCTGCTGCAAATTACAGTGGTGCCTCGCTACATGATTACCTCACAAAATGGTTAATTCACAAGGTGATGTTTTTTGCTATCGCTATAGCACTTTGCAAAACGGTTTTCCCTATGGGCGATTTTCGCTAGATGATGTTTCAGCCCATGCTTCACAAGACGGTTTGTTGTTGTTGTTTTTGGGGACGGTTTTTCACAAGATGATGATTTTGACAGCTGTGGCCACACTTCACAAAATGGTTTTTTTAGGGACAGTTTTTTGCAAGACCGCGATTTTGACAGCTGGGCCCGTGCTTAGCATAACAGCTTTCCTATGGGCAATTTTCGCAAGACAACAATTTTTTTCCCCATTGAACGCATTAAATGGATTTTGTTAGAATATTGAGAATTTTACAGGCCTGAACAGGTCAAGACAGTAATGGTAATAAGCTGCCATGATGATCACCTGTGTAAGACTTAGAAGTGCTGAGTCACAGTGACTGTGAAGAAGATGATGCAACATCTGTGTATGATGCAACACCCATGTATGAAGATGATGCAACACCTGTCTTGATTGGACAGAAGCATCTGCTTAAATGTATATAAGTGTACAATCTGTATGTGATGTATCTTCTTCCTCTATACTCTGTTCTGCTATCCTCTATGCACTTTGCCTCTATATTGCTGCCACGCCGAAGGACTGCTGCTTTGTATATTTCTACATTTCTATAGATACACGTGTCTTGAAGAAGAAGAGAGAGTGTGTGTTTTTCCTTCATCAGAACTCTGCAAATTACCAGCAAGAAGCTGACAGATTTCACTGTGTTCCAATGGGGAACCACATTTCGCAAGATGATGTTTTCACAAGACATTGATTTTCGCGGAATGAATTAACATCGTCTTGCAAGGCACCACTGTAGGTTTCTTTCTAATGGGCCTAATGAGTGTCTACTTAAGGGCAGGGGCAACCATGCCCTTCTGGAGAGACCCATTAATTATTGCGGTGGCCCATTCTGTTGTTACTAGCCTGTCTGCTTTGATGAGCCAGGCTGGGCAAGGGTCTAAAGAGGAGGTGGTGGCACAACAGCGCACAAGCACCCTGTCCGCATCATTGGACATCACAGGTTGAAAGCAAATTAATCTCGCCAGGCAAGACGATGCAGTGGACATCTCAACTCGATCTACTGTCTGTAAAAAGTGATAAAGAGCTGCCAAACACCCCACCCATTGATTCAATGGGCCTACTGTAGTTGCAACTTACTGCTAGATTTCAGCCTTTGGATTCTGTAATTACCTGGTTTACACAGGCATTTTCGTCTTACTTATACTGCTTTGTTGTGTTATGAATCAATTATAATTTCCTTAAGACTGTCTTTCTAGCTCAAAATACAAAATAAAATTCTAAACATACATGATCAATGCTTTATAAAAACACCCTTTAAATGTCCATTTATATATCTTTCAAGTCTAGAACATGGGAGACAACCATTTTTAAGGCCTCAGGACAAATGTAACACTTTCAGGTTACTGCACAGGGTGCAGATCAAGAAGTTTCAGAACACTGAGAACCACAGAAAAATCCATCTCCAGCTCTAATCACACTCATCTGGCATAGGATAAGGGCAATTATTTCTCAAGCACCTAAGGGAACTTCACTCCAAATGGATATTTTAAAGTTAGTGTTTCAAGGTCTCAAGCTTTGGCCTTAGGGATGCTGTTAACCCAACAGCTATAATTTAATTTGAAGGCTCTTCTTGTCACATCCTATTGATTACTGTTGTGGAAAATGTTCCATTACAAAACTAGTTCCTTTTCCCTTTATGCAACTAATTTTATTTTTTTTTACATAAAATATGGTTATCCCACCTTTCTCCTTGAAAAGGACCCAAGGCAGCTTACAGCATTGAAAGACAATATTTACATCTGAAAACAAAGAGTATACAATGGTGGTCTACATCATTAAAAGGCAACATTGGAGCTAAGAACAAAAGTATACAGATATTAAAAAGGGGGGAAATACCACTCTGAGATATGGAAAACACAAAAATGGAAAACACAAGTAGTACTAAAAACCCAGTCAACACAGTAATGCATAATAATCCAGCTAAAAATCACACAGTAATTAGTTACTGAGGGAAGGCCGCCTGCAGACGGACAGCAAAGATGGGGCCAGCCTGGCCTTCTATGGAAGGAAGTTCCAAAATCTGGAGGCAGTGACAGAAAAGGCCTTTTCCTGTGTCCTCGCCAAACACCCCTGTGAAGGTGGTGGGACCAAGAGAAAGGCCTCTCCTGATTATCTTAATACCTGGGTAGAAACAGATTGTCGGCCAGTGGAGCTGCTGTAACAGGGGGCTTATGTGATCCCTGTGACCAGCCCCAGTCAGCAATCTGGCTGCTGCAGTTTGGACCCATTGAAGTTTCCTGACTCTTTCCAGAGGCAGCCCCACACAGAGTGCATTACAGTAATCCAGCCAAAAAGTAATTAGGGCGTGTGTCACAGTGGCCAGATCAGATCACTCAAGAGATGGATGTAGCTGGCATACTAGGCTCGGGAATGAATCCAGGAGCACCTCCAAGCTGTGCGCTTCATTTTTCAATGTAACCCCATCCAGTACAGGCTGCACACACATGCACACACATGCATCGCAATCACAACAGAAGATGATCAGTAAGACTGGAACAACAGTGCTGCTGCTGCATTTGCTAGTTCATTCAAGTAAACAACGCATAACACATTTTTGATCATGTGCATTTTATACAATTGCATAAAGAACAGCTTTGAAAATGTACAAAATCTCTCCAAAGCCTACTAAAAACATTCCTACCATGTCACAGTAAATAGACACACATGCTCTCTTGCTGGTATTATTTTGTACATTATAAGAGGATAAACCAAGTCAAGATTTATAAGCCTAGTGTGGACCTTAACCACCACCACCACCACCACCATGTGCTGTCAAGCCAGTTTTGACTTCTGGCAATCCTTTTCAGGGTTTTCTAGGTAAAGAATATTTCAAAGTTGTTTACCATTTCTTTCTTCTGGAGGCGCTTCTGGGACTGTGTAACTTGCCCAAGGCTACAGAGGCACTGTGGGGATTGACCTCCCAACCTCTGACTCCACCTCCAGATACCTAAACCACTGAGATCTTGATGTATCCAAAATAGTGTTTCCATGTACAAGAGGGATGTATCAGACTGCTTGTGGAAGTTCGAAGTCTGTGAAGGTAAATAAGGAGGGAAATGGAATGTCTTGAGTGACCGCATTGTGTATCGCTAATCCCTCTTGGAAACAGAGAGCAAGATCCAAAGATGAGAAAACATTGCAACCCTCTTTGTGACAGGGCTTTGACATAGGGAGAGACAGTTTGTTGGATGACTCCCACTTAAAGCAAAGGCCATTACATTTTCCTGACAGGAGCCCTTGCCAAATATCCATATTTGCTTGAAAAGTGCCTGCGGCACAACCATATTAGACTATGGAGATTAGGTGTAATGCACTGTGCAAAGCAGGTAAGGAGGGGGTCCTCTCTAGGCACCACAGTCTGGGTTTCTGCCCAAACTTATTTTATTAGTCTTCCCCTCTTCCTGCCCATGGAAACATTTCTAACCTCACTCCTGTTAACTAATAATATGCTGGAGAGACCTGCAAGGGAAAGGGGAAAAGTAAGGAAAAACATGTTCCCAGAAAACTGAAAACAATTAACTCAAGATTTTTCTGGGAATTTCTTTTCTTCATAACAGGAAGGAAACGTCTATCTCAAAGTCAACAAAGCAATTCTAGCCATTTTCATTCCCACCAGAAGTATGAAAGTTATGGTCCTTTGCTTGCACAAAACCAAGCCACACCCAAGTAGTCTGTAATAAAACAGCAGTAGTTCACGACCATACACTGTTGTTGGGAGGAGCCATTTCCCTTCAGCAGTTATGAGAACTGGAGGTAAACTCCATGGACAAATACTCTGCCTCAGTACTTTAGCCTATTACATCATTGCAGTCCACCTCTCAACACTGAGTTTCCCCTAATTCTCTTATTGTACAGTAGTACCTCGGTTTACGAATGCCTCAGTTAGGGTAATTTTTGGTTTATGAACAGAAATCCATTGAAAATAATGCCTCGGTTTACTACTTTTTTTTCCACAGTACGAAGAAAGTTTCCCCAGGATGCATTGTGCCTGGAGGTTTATAGCACTGTTCCCATTCCTATGGCAAACCGCGTTTCGGTTTACGGATTTTTCACATTACGTAACATTCCAGAGAACACATTAAATTCGTAAACTGAGATACTACGGTATCTGGATGTTTGCCTTCCAGCTTCCAGTCTTTTAATGCTCCTGTTGCTCCAGCTGTCTCCTTAAAACACTAGTTTGCACCACTCAGGCATCACCTCAAGTAAGAGTGACCACTGCTCCATTGGGAAGACATTCTTCACACACAAAAAGGAGGACACCTTTACATTATATTTCCATATGGTAATTAAAAGTAACATATGCAAATATATTTAGACATATTTATTATAATTTAATTGGAAATACACTATTGTTCCCCTTAGTGGATGCACACCTTAATGCAGTGGGGGGGGGGTTGAGTGTGGCAGAGAAGCCCAGAGCAATGCCATCATTACGAATCTGGATTCCTAGCAGGGTCGCACAAGGTGGAATGTTCACAGTTGTGAAACCAGACTAAGATGCATCCACCCTCTTCAAGAGGGTAATGGTCACATCAGCAGCAGAGAATGGGAAGTTCCACTAGTGATAGGGGCAGAGAAACTCCTGAGAGGCAGCTACTGGTGACACTGGTGGAGCATCGTTCACAGACCAAAGCAATGATACTCAGGCTAACTTTTGTAAGGATTACACAGAACTCAATGGTAAACAAGTGCTTGAAACCCCTGAAAACTATATGATGATAAATCCAAAATGTAAC